TAGGGAAAGTACAGTGGACAGGGAAGGAAGACATCTGTGGTGTCCTGAGGAGCACTTGGCTTTGGGCAGGGCACTGGAACCACATGGGCCTCAGCTTTTCCATAGGTAAAATTCTGGGCAGGACCAGATTGTCTCTGACACCTCCACGCAGCTCTTAAAATGTTATGGCTCTGATACCCTTCTTGGGGCTGGGGAGCCTGGGAGGAGGAAGGAGCAAAAGCATGTGGTGAGGCTAAAATCAGGAAACGGCAGCATCTAGCATGTTAACCTCTTGAAAATTCAGCCAAATACGTGTGGTGTCCAGAATTTAGTGTGCTTTCATTATATATTTTAAAAAATGAGGCCTGATAAATTTGGAGGCTTATTTGCTGGAAGGGTGAATTCACAGCATTCACTCAGGGAACCAGGAAGAACTGAAGGATGGAATATTGCTTCTATTACTAACTCAACCATTGAGTTTCTGACTGATGTAACAGGTTAAAAAATGACATCATTGTGAACTGAAAATAGGATACCCTTGGGCAAATTTGTTCCCTGTTGTTTTGTTATGTAAACATAATGATTTTCAGGAAAAGCAGGCTTGTGGTCTTTAAGAGGATCTAAAATATACCCTTAATAAAATAAGGCCAAGGTATCTGCAGAATTACTCTCCCCTTGTTTCCTCCATTCTATTATTTTAGTGTCTGTGAAAACAAAATTGTGGTTAGTAAACACATCCTCTCAATTTTCCTAGGTAGCCAGTTTTGGAGGCAAGTATTTTTCTTAAATATAAGTTCATATAAAGTCAAAATTTTCCAAATCAAAATAATATTTATAGCAATATTTGTCTTGACAGGATATTATTTTTAATATACTTGTATATTACATCTGACATAGTAGCTACTAAATAAATATTTGTCAAAGTGATGACTGCACCTATTGTACCAAATAGGTAGTGTGATGTTTAACATATTGAATATTCTCACAGGGAAAAAAAAGGACCCTTTATGATAGAAGCTAATATTTATTGGGTATGTGCCAATCAGTGCACATGTAGAATGAAATTGTACTAGCACAGCAATATCATAGGTAGGTGCAGCTGTTATTCCCATTTTTGATATGGGAGAAGGGAGGGCAACGAAGTTCACCGACTTGCTGAAGGGCGCATAGTAAGTAAGGCAAGATTTGAACCCACATCCGGCTGAATCAAGTACCCATTGCATTAGCACTACAAGCAGTTTGAGAGAAAAAGGAAACAGAGCCAAGATGCGAGTGGAAATCTAAAGGGCTGACTGGCAAAAAATGATCATTTTTATTTCCATAATTTCACTTTCCTTTTCTTGATACTTTGAGTATCTTGAGGGGCCAACAGAGAAGGGAAATAATTCAAGCAGCTGGCCTGCCCTTAACTCGACCTTCCTGTATTTATCTCCATGATGCTGCTTCCATGTACTAAGCAGCTGAGCTCTCCCAGAGCCACACAACTGGAGGTGATGTGAATTGGAATCAAATTCAATCTTAAATGCCTAATTTCTTTCTCTCTTTCTTTAGCAGTCGTTCACTGTCTAGGCCGGTAGTTCTCACTGTGCGGTCCCTGGACCTGCAGCATCAGCACCACCTGGACACTTGTTACAAGTGCAGATTCTCAGGTCTCATCCCAGACCTATGGAATGAAAGAGTCTGGGTGTGGGACCCAGGAATCCATTTTAGCAAGTCTTCCAGGTGATTCTGATGCCTGCTTAAGTTCAAGAACATTGTTCTAGAGTTGCTTTCACAAGCAATTGCTTTCAATTGCTTTCACAAGCAATTGCTTTCAATTGCTTTCACAAGCAATTGCTTTCAGTTGCTTTCACAAAGTTTCCTGTGTATTTGAGAGAAAGAGGGGGAATGAGAGAGAGAAGAGATTTATAAAATATTTAAAAAGTGATGGACGTGGTTTCATTTTTTAAAAAATTAATTAATTAATTTATTTTTGGCTGTGTTGGGTCTTCGTTTCTGTGCGAGGGCTTTCTCTAGTTGCGGCAAGCGGGGGCCACTCTTCATCACAGTGCTCGGGCCTCCCTCTATTCGCGGCCTCTCTAGTTGCGGAGCACAGGCTTCAGACGCGCAGGCTCAGTAGTTGTGGCTCACGGGCCTAATTGCTCCGCGGCATGTGGGATCTTCCCAGACCAGGGCTCGAACCTGTGTCCCCTGCATTGGCAGGCAGATTCTCAACCACTGCTCCACCAGGGAAGCCCCATGGTTTCATTTTTTAAACTTCAGCTTTTAAAAATGCATCTGCTTTGCTGCTTACGCCCCATTGTTTCAAGGGAAGGACCAGCCAACAGCTGCAGCCCCAGATGGCTTTCGAGTTTCTGAGGTTAGAAGATGCACGGAATGAGGTGAAGGGGGGCAACCAGAAAGCATAGTGCGGAGAAAAAAGGGAAAAGTGTTAGTAATGATGCTTTTTCTTCTCACAGGAACAGGGGTCAGACAGCTTCTTTTTTCTAGTCAGTTTGGGGAAGGGCAAAGTCTGTTCTTTTTAAAGATGCTTTTTGCTGCAACAGGTTTATTACAAAAAGAAAGGAAAGTAAGTAAGTCAGGGAGAGGAAAGTTATGCAGGCATAACTCTTGTCTTGATTCTTTGCCTCCTTGAAATGGGTGGAGAGAGGGGAGCATAAAACACAATGGGATAAATAGATGAATAGAGCAAACTGCTCTACTTAACTTGGAGACTATAGTCTTTGCAGTTCAGTGAAATTATTTCATTCATTTTGAAGTGGCATTCAGACTTTGACTTGCTATGGAACACCAACCAAAATCAAATAAAATCTCCCGCAGAAGTTAGATTATGATGCAGCCTCTGCCAGTAGCCTCATTACTTATGAGCTGTGGACATTTCAAAAACTTGGAATAACACTCGTTACATCGATGTAAACCGAATAAGTCAGATGGCTTTTACTACTGATCCTGTACAACAGGCAAACTCTAATGATTTATTATCAAGACTTGGGTGTGTGATTTATCCTTTATGGGGACTAAATCTGTTAGATTGATCTCAAGTTGATAGGCTTTCCTTTCCATTTTTAAATTATACTACTTAAAATGGAGATATATCACTTTAGTTTTCAGAATTGCTAATCTTGATATGTATATTATATATGAGCATGGCAATTTTGAGTCAAAAATGAAAGAAAAAGATGTAACTTTGTTGAACTTGAAGTTCCCTGAGTTTAAATGAATTTAAAGGAAAATGTGAAAATTGAGGTCCAGACCTGTTACAAAATAGTTTCTCTGAACCTTAAAAGTCAAATTAATTTTCCTTCTGCACATCACGCATGGTTTAAAT